AATAATTGATCTATATTATTTTTCAACTTTTGTTCTTTTAAAACACGTGATTCAGATATAATTTCACCATATGCGACATATAATAATATTCAATACGACTTTGGATATGCTCTGGTCATTTTATTAATTGTGATTTCATTTTTTATTACTATTTATATGATGAATTTATTTATTGGCATACTTAGCAATAAAATTAGTGACTTGAATAATAAAAGTTCTTTTTTACGTAATAAAGCTGAGGTATGCGTTTTTAAATTTACAATTTAGTTAAATCAATTTTTAACATTTATTTATAATATCTTTGAAGACTTTGTTTAAAATTGAACAAAGTTATTTGCTAGAATATCAGCGAAAAAAGAAGGATTGGTTTCCAGAAATCATGTAAGTCAACTTTTATAAATATAAATTATTAAATTATTTAAATATCCTTAAATTTTTTTTTACCAATTTTTCTTTAAATATAAGTTTTTTTGAGGCTCATTTGGATGAACTTCGCAATGTAATTAGACAAATTCAAAATAACACTTGGCCAGGTTTTTATAAACCATATATTTCTCCTGCTCTTTTGAAAGCAACTCAAATGAAATCAGAACCAGATCAGGATGAACAAGATGATTTTTAACAAATAAATAAATTCTAAAAATTATGAAAAATGGGTTCTTTAAATTTGCTAATTTTGCTATTGAAAACTATTTTGAAAAAAAGATTTGAAAATAGTTAATAAATTTGACCTAATAGTAAATTTACTCCCTTGTTTTAATTGTAGTCATGGTGATATAGTTATACTTTTGCTCATTCTTTAAAATAGCTAAAGAAAAATAATAATAATAATAATAACAGTAAAAATTTAAAAAAAATAGCATAATATAAGTTTATATTTATTGTACTAGTGATATATATCCGATTGATTCGATTCACTATAATCTTGATTTATGCAGCAACCTGATTTGTTTGAGATTTAACCCGATGCATGACGTTATCATGCTAGAATTATTATCGTGAGAATCATCCATTTCACATTGGGTCTACAAAAATAAATTTTATTTGTCATTTATATAATTATGAATTAATGTTCTGTGCATATTAATTTATTTGGCACATTCTTATGTATAAGTGCAGCCAAGGTAAAGTCTGTCATCGGGCAATAATTAAAAAACTGCATGTAAAAAGGTTAAAGAAATTGGTTTGTGAATTTCGATGGACATTCATTATCGATTAATAATTTTATATAAAAAATTTGTTAATAAAAAAAATATATATAATGAAATCTTTTGTTTTTCGAAGCGGAGGGCAGACTGGTGTCGACATTCGACATTGGAATAGTCGATGCTGCTGCTTTTAAAAATGGATCTAGAATAGTTTATAGCGACAGCAGTCGACTTATCATAAAAATAACTAATGTACAATTTATTATTATTGGGTTCTGCCCAAAAGGCGAAAACGGAAAAATTGATAATTTTACGTAAATAAATGGAACAGCCAAAAAATGTAGTGAAGAAATTTGGCTAATATCCTTGCAAGCGATTAATAAAAAAAGCGATAATTATTAAATTTTGATATGTGACATTTGGCATCACATAGTTTCGTCTAACAACTATAATCCAACCAATATAGCACTTAGAGATTTTTACCTCCCTAAATACAATACTCTCTAATTGCAAGATTTTTTGGCCGTCCACGAGGTATGACTGCATTGATTTTCATCTTCTAAAATAACTGGCAAAATTTCTAATCCATGTTCGAAAATTATCAATTATTTCGCTTCTAAAAACAAGTGTTTTGTCTTTCAAAAAACATAAAATAATTCCCTTTCATGATGATTATTTATTCTTTTATGCACTGCATGAATATTGAAATACTCTTCTTTTAGATGTTCAAAGATTTCATATTCACAAAAACAAGATAATTTTATATATTTTTTGGCCTGAATACTGAAGATTCCATCTTGTCAGTAATTCCTCCATCTCTCTTCTTCTGACCCTGTAAACTTTGAAACTATGAATCCTTCTGTCATATTATTCTCTTCTCCCTCTTCTTCTGACACATCATTCTCTTCTTCCTCACTACCTGCCAAATTTCGAATGAATAGTCTTCCTTTTGGTGCGAAAAAATTATTCATAAAATTGGATAAAAATAGTCTTAAGAAACAACACCAACCAAGAAAGATAACTACAATTTATTATTTCCATGGTACTGTGCACTACCATATATTATTGCTTATGCTATTATTAGAGGAGTATTTATATATTTTGATTTGTTTTATACTGTGTTATTTAATTTAAATATCTTTATATTTCAGTAGGTTAATTTATATAGGAAACTTTATCATGAGTTTCTTTTATATCTATTTGCCATATTTTTTAAACTTACCAATTAAGTTTTCATTATAACTAGCATGAATTTATAACAATACTATAGTTAGCTACGGTTTTACAATAAACTATTAATAGCTCACATCTCTATAGAGATGTAAACTGCATTTTATTAATTTTATTTAGGATATTTTATAAATTCTGTATAAATAAGAAGGATTTTGTAATTTACCGCTGTAGCGATACATCGCTAGTCCCTATCATGTGATCGTCATTGTATTATAATTTTTTAAAAAAAAGCAATGCACATTTTATAATTTATCGCTGTAGCGATATGCCGCTACTCTAATAAATCCTATATACAGAAGTTTGAATAACCTGCAGTGATACTTATAAATTATTGATTTTATTGGCTAGCGATACAACGCTATAGTGATAAATGAAAGCTCCCATCAAGGGAAAATAATATTCAAGTAATTTGGTTTGACACTTATTATAATGTATAACTCGATATTGCTCACAATAAATCGAATTTTTTTGCAATAAATGAATCCTAATTTTACTTGCAATTTATATCTGTGTTATGTAGAAATTCATTATTCAGTAATTTGATCCGAAAATAATTCAAGCATATTGCTTTGACAATTTAATGCAACATTCATATGGCATCGATTACGATTCCCAACATAATATAATAACATTTAACAGACTTTAAATATTCTATAGCAGATTCGCCATAGACAGATACTATATAATTGCTATGCTATATTTGTCATAGCAATATGCTCGGGTATTATTTCTGGATCCAGTAATATAAATATATATAAGTACAGTAAATGAGAGATAATGGCAATAATAAATGCAGAAATAATCAGTTTACCTTGCAATTTTTTTGATAATGGCCCGTATTGCCACATTTCCTGCATCGATGTTGACGTTTAATTTTAACTCTTTGACTCTTATGTGAAGACTTAAGTCTTTTTGTACCAAGAGGTCGTCCTCTTCCACGATGTTTCTTTGGATTTTTCAGCTTAGGTATCATAGAATCTTTGTTATTATCATCATCAATTTGTGAACTTTCACCTGAATCTGACTGCTCACTAATATCTTCAACAAAACCTTGAAGAAGACTGATAAGTTGTTGTGATTTCAAATCATCTTGAAGCACCTTATTAAGGCTTTTTTATAAATACTATGCAACTCTCCATAAACAGTCTTTCGTTCAAGAATAGTTAGATTACCTTTACAGAAATCTTTTCCACCTTGATCAAAAGTGCACAAATATGTTACTGTACTATTTAAATCCTGTGTTATCATTACGTTTTGATCATCTTCAAATTTTCTGCATGCAAGAATAGCTCCTCTGAACCATCTTTATTTTTGCTATATCATCGAGTTGGAATTAACCTAACATGGAAATATGCATTCTTTGTAGCTAGCATCACTTGGAAAAAATGGCTACAAACGATTCCATGTTGAATTATAGAAAGACAAGAACAGAGGTGACCTCAATTTTGTAACAAAACAACATAGTGTTTAGTTTGCAACAAGTTTCCAACATTTACAGACCAAATTTCATTGACATTGTATGAACCAACAAATTTGATCATTCTTTTTAATGTCGCTTGTGGAGTGTCAGTGTTAATGGTCATTTTATTTACAGATACAGTTTTATCCTATTATAGCATTGTTAATTCAATTTCATTAATATAAAAAACACAGTTCAAATTTAGCAAAAATCTCAGATTATTTTTAAAATTTGATATATCCTTTACTTAACAATTTGTCTTCGCATTACCAACCAAATTTCATAAGTTAATTAATTATTAAAATCGGTGCAGTTCAAAAAAATCAAATAATAAAAAAACTCAGCTTTGTACTTATAAAATTATGCATATTAGCAAAAGTATTCTTGC